GGTGTCATCGCTTTGGAGCGGTATTTCAGCCCTTTACAGTGTCAAATGTCTAAAAGGGTCTGAACGCTAATGTAGGCTGACTACCATTTACGTGCCAAGTCACACAGCTCCCAGGTTCAGCCATCTGTATTTGATTTTCTGCCTTTTATGAGAGGGAGGGGAGAAAGACATTGTTCTTGTTATATCCCAGAGCTATGAGCACGTAACCTATTCAGCCTGGCATCATCATTCAACAAATCAGAGGAAAACGTTTCATGAGACAACACATGAAACAAGACAAAGAAACATTGCTGATTCAGTTTATTGAGAAAGAAAATCAGGAATGAGCTGAGTTCCCCAGAGGGCAAGATGAACCAAGGTGAGATCTTTAGCTGGGATTTGCCAGTGGGGATCCTGTGGTGAATTCTCTCAGAACCGATGCTCAGCATTTTCCAAAATGGCTTAAAATGAGAGTCCCATTGCTATCCCTGAAAGTGAGGAGAGGAAAAGATAGATTAGACACAGAGTTCTGCCTGCTACAATCTGTCCCTTTGCTTGACTCCTAGAGAAGGCATCAGATGGGATCCTGCCCCAGAGAGAGAGAACTTGCAGACTCACAGTCCCATTATCTATTTGATTTTTAAGAAATGAGTGAAATGATTTAGCCCATTCTTAATACTGAAAATATTTTTGAAAAATAATGAATTCATATAATGAAGGTTCAAATTTAATTTTCTTTGCAACTTGCAAGAAAAACTCTATTAAGGTTAATGGTCTTCAAACCATTCATGCTAACAAACCATAGGTAGCTCTTTGCTCTAATGAAAAAAAAAAACAGAATGGTTGGTATGATGGCTGGTACCCTTCTCCTGCCCCAAATCCCTGGTCAACACTGGTCAGCAAGGGAAGTAGCAACCGTGCAAACTCGTGCCTACAGGAGGCAACTGATAACACAAATGGGATCCATGTTTGTACATACACAGCTTCGTTGCAGAAGTTACACTTATTGCGGTATGTTTTGCCATCAGAGCCACAGAGAGGCATGTAGTCAAGCAAGCAGACAGGTTTAGGGTAGTCACTGCAGTCAACCTGGAAAAAAAGAAGTCTACTATAAAGGAGTCAATAGCAGAAGGGCTTGAATCCCTAGCTACAGCTGCAGTGCTAATGATAACAATCCAAATAAAAGTAATTAACTTCCTTGCACAATCTGCCATAAACTGAGGTGTCATTTTCTCCTATGCCAGAAGAACTAAATAATATAAAAATAGGTCATAATTTCCTGTTTGAAGAGATGTGTATCACAACCTGCCCACAGCATTTCTAAGCAGCAGCAGTTCACCAAGTGAACGTGCCGTGCTTGTGATCACATCCTGGCCAGGAAATTAAATGCAATAACACTGGTGTCTGGAGAAGTGTAGGAGCTGAGGCCTGTATGAGGGTCCAGTATTTCTCCCACAGTCCTAAAACGGAAAGATCAGCACTTAGCTAGATACTGTGAGAGTGGGATTTTGTCTCTTTGTGCAACGGGTGCTGCACTTGCTGAGAGGTGTCAAAGTGCAAAAAACATGCTTAGCTCCAGGAAGAGGCGGAGGGATTTCATGGAGGAGAAATCTATTGAGGCTTACTGACTATACAGAAATTGCACCTAGCTGAGGTCCACCACCTGAAAATAGCTGGAGGTTGGAAGATTAGAAGTCTCAAACATATTCACTCTACTCTTACTCTTTCCTACACAGTCCTTAGGACCCCTGCAGGCTCTGCATCAAGCCGTCATGGACTTGATGGACCACTGGTCTGACCTCAAAAGCCGTTCTCTGTTCTTATTCTCAGTTCCACCCCAATGAATTATTTCTGCTACTGCTCTTTTACTGATTCCTTCCTGTGCAGTCACCCTCTCCCTCTTCTGACATTAGCGCGGATAACGTGAATTATGTGTGGAGAAAACGCAATATTCCCCGTGCTGAAGCACAGCAGCAGTTACTCTCCTGTAGGATGCTGCTGCGGACACTGGCAGTGCTTCCCCTGACATCATCAGGACTGGAACCCGGTCCCTCATCATGCAGTTCACTCACTGTAATAATTTCCTTCTTGCATTCACCATCATACTTCTTGCCAACAGCGGTTCCAGGCTTTCTGTGAAGGGAAGAGACATGCGTTAGAGAGCCCTGCAAGCAACCTGCTCTACTGAGCCCCATGTCCCAGCAATGCCAATCAGCCTCCGGTACAACGTACGGGATACAGGAGACCCAGATCCAGCTTTGGCTGTGTCCTCATGGCTCTAGGTACCTGCTCAGGTGGTGCCACAGCCTGCTGGAATGCTGCTCTATAGCACAATGCCAAGGAGAAGGGAGGGTGTAGGGCATTAGGGTGAGCAAGGAGCTAGGTTGTGTGACAGTGCAGATGCACCTTAGGTTAGTTGCTGTCCTCTGCAAGGCAGCATCTGCCACATGGACCCTTTTATTCAAATTAAGAGAAGCATTCTGTCCTGTGTTAGATCCCCTGCCAGCCCTTCACTTTTCTCTGTAGACCAAAGGCATGTTTTTCCTTCTAATCACAAAGGAAAACAGAGTCTAGTTACCATGGAAAGAGCTGGGTCAAAGTCCAAGCACCTTACAGAAAAGGCCTTGGAAGAAGACCTGGTGCTCGAAGAGCAGCTGTGGGCAGTGCTGAGCACTCACTGTTCCTCACAGCAGAGCTCTGCACACATGGTACTCACGCGTTATGGGCACACAGCGTGCACTCGTTGTCATAGGTGACCCCATCGGTACCGCAGACGGGGGTGAGGGCTTTGTTGCAGAGAAATATCACTTTGCCTTCCTCATTTGTCGTGTTGGAATATCTGCTGCAGTCCACCTGTTGAGGGAACACGCAACAGAGCACTGGTGAAGGCTTACTCGTAGATCTGCCAAGTGTGTCTGTCTGCCTAGGATACTACCACAGCAGGAAAAATGCCTTTTTTTGTTTGTTTGTTTTGTTTCATTATGATGACGTTTCTCTTAAAGATGACCAATGCAAGATACTGACATGTCATATGTCCTCTTACGCAGCGTTTGAATTATTTTGTGAGGAAGTCAACAAACAGCTTTGGCCACTCAGAAGAAGGACATGGTTCACTTACAGGAATGTCTTCCTTGCATTTTCCATCATGGTCTTTGCTGACATTGGTTCCATATTCTCTGGAGAGCGAAAGACAAATGTTAGGAAGTTCAGCAAAGACTCCTTGCTACATCCTAGGTGCTAGAAACATGTAACTAATACAAGGAAAAGATGACTCTTTTTATCAGTCAAGCTTATACATATTTTTTGAGAAGGTAGAGCCATCCTTCCTGACCAGCTAGCACCGAAAGGCTGGTAGGGCGCTAAAGACCCTGAGAGCTTTAAGATCGTTTTGGGCAGTTCAGAGCAGAGCATCTCTCCATCTTTTTGCTCTGCTTTGCTGTGATGAGATGTGCCCTAGGGACTGTCACCTGGCTGATCCTTGAGCTGGAGAAGAAAAACCTGAATAAACGACACCAGCAAGAGAGACACGGTGACTAAAGCAATGTCTAGGCAACAGAGTACCATATAGTGATACTCGAGCTTATTTTGAAGAGATTGACACAAATGACATCAGGCAGATCACTGTTTGTTGCAAAGCAGTGCTGCCAGGAGTCCTAAGCATCGCTGCCTGAGATCTCCTGCGCGGTACGTACAGGCTGTAGGCACAGAGCAGGCACTCGTTGCTGTAGGTGACTCCATCGGTACCACAGACAGGGCTGAGCGTGTTGTCGCAGACAAACACCTCTTTGCCTTCCTCATTTGTAGTGTTGGAATACTGACTGCAGTCCACCTGGCAAAGAAACATGCAGCAACAAGGTGGAGGAGACATTTTACATTCACAACTCTCATTTTGCATGAGACAGTGACCAGATACAACCTGTGGTGGGTCTTTCACTAACACAGCACAAGCTTGTGCTGGTGGGACAGCCTGGTAACAGGTGATTCCTTCCTGCAGAGACCTCCCCCCACAGCAGGAGAGGAGGGGAGGGCTATAGCCACACAGCCCCCCAGGTGGGGTAAATCAGCAATGGTCTCTTATGCTCACTTGGCATCATTTTACAAAGGCTGAGCATTGGTCCCTCATTTGAATCTTCTTGTGGCCCCTCCAGTGCACTTCTGTTACTACTCTTTCATTCTCAACACATTGATGATTTTTCTTTTTTTTTTTTCTCCCCTAGAGAAGCAAGACTAATGTGTGGAAGCTGGAGTGTCTCATAGTATTTTATTCTTCCAGCAGGTTGCCTTTGGGTGGGTTCTGATACCACAGTCTATTGCAATCAGTTTAGAGCCAGTTATATATAACCAGCTCAAGGCTTAGACCAGTTTAAAGTTGGTGAAAAATTAATTCATCTAGAATTTTTATATCATTATCGCTACTACATTATTAACATACAGCATAGATGTTGAGCCAAGAACAATATTATTTAATGGTTTACACTGTAAAATCTGATTACAGTGACACTAATTTCATGGCAGGTGAAAAACAGCTAAGCATCTGCAGGCCTGAGGTTTTTCTCACTCCTTTCATTATTGCTTATTTAGCAATTGCCTTTGCTAGGCCACGTACCTGAGAAAAGCAAGAGAAAGAAATCTTTCACTCACCTCAACCCCAAAAGCAGCATCTGGAAAACAAGGGAGAGGTAGAAAATATGAGAAAAAAAAAAAAAGCCAAGATGATAAGAACTCAGTTAAAGCTGGAAGTCTGGATGTAAAATTCCTAGATTTGTACACAAGACCAAAGTGAATGATTTCTAATGACAAGTTTCCTGAACTAAATAAACTATGCATGCTTTTTTTTCCTACTTTGATAAGTATAATATTGTTGATTATTGCTGACCGTGATGAAAAGTGTTTTTGAATAGCTTTGTTCTTTTTTATTTTGAGATAGGTAGGCTTATTAATTGAAAATCGAGTAGCTTCTCCTTATCTTTTTACACATCCGTTTTGACCCTAAAGAGCTGCAGGTACACATCTGGAAAGAAACCTGAGTCAATACAGATAAATGCAGATTCAAATAGTCACCTACAGGATAAGCAAATACATACAGCATATGTTGTTAGGAATACACATTTTAAAGAAGCTAAGTGTGAAAAGAAAAAAAAAAATGATTTTGATTTGTAATTTCATCAGAAGTAAATACACAACGAGAACATCAGACTCTGGCTTGTTTTCATCTCCTCTTTTCTCCATTAGCAGCAAAAGTATTGCAGGAAATTCACCAGGATTCTGCACAGAACTTGCTTGTGCCATTACAATATCGTTGTGACTAGTTACAGGAGGTCTGACCACCTCGTTATGGCCTTGTTTCAAGTGTTTATCCGTTTACTGTGATTGTGCCACAACAAGCATCAGCACTGTAACAGTGGTAAAACAACAGCGTAAAAAGCACAACATCCCTAGTTACCAGTACAGAACTCCACTTGCAGTTATTTGTACTTACAACAGACAACGAGCTACGACAGGCATCAGTTTAAGGCTGTCCTGAAAGCTGCTCCTGCACACTATGAGAGGCTAACGTACGCAGGCAGCCCAGCTCCTTGTAGGAGATTTTCTCGCTTTGAAGCCACTATCTGACCATTTTAAAGACAGCCAGGACTCAGAGATGAAGTCTTTGTGGCACTTTGAGAGTTACTCACCTGGGAAGCAGCAAAGCACAAAGGAGAGGAACACAAAAACACCTGCAGTGGTCATGGTGGAAGTATTTCTCCGGTCTGCAGGCTGCCCGCTCCTGCTCCACTCGTGAGATGGCTTCTCCAGGGCTGACTGCAAATATATACAAATGCAATGTCTAAACTGTTCAACTGTAAAATAAAACAACCAGCAGAATCTGTCACTGGTACAATGAGGCTGGTTAATATTTATTGAGATCTTGACTTTCAGGTAATGGTCTGCATTTGCTAGGCAATTGATTTTGGCTGGGCATTCGGTTAATAGCTTTAGACAAGTATCACATGTTCTCAGTGGTCAAAACCAAACAAACAGCCTTTTAGACAAAAGAAACCTCTTTAGGATTCTAGCAGAAGTGTAAGGAGAACAAAATACTGAGGGGAGTAAACAGCAAGCAAGTCCTTCATCTGTCTTGACAGAGCGACATAGAATCATAGAATGGTTTGGATTGGAAGGGACCTTAAAGACCATCTAGTTCCAACTCCCCTGCCGTGGGCAGGGACACCTTTCCCTAGACGAGGTTGCTCAAAGCCTCATCCAACCTGGCCTTGAACACTTCCAGGGATGGAGCAGCCACAACTTCTCTGGGCATCCTGCTCCAGTGCTTCACCACTCTCATTGTAAAAAATTTCTTCCTTAAATCTAGTCTAAATCTCCCCTCTTTCAGTTTAAAGCCATTGCCCCTTGAGACATCTCCCATCAAGGAGCAGCTTAGGCAGAGCATGCAGCACTGCCCTGCTTGTAGACCAGGCTGAGAAGCTCTGCTTTCCTTTCTGGGTTTGAGTGTTGGGTTATTTTCCATATTCCCAGATATTCACCACTAGATACAAACATGGGTCAGATGTGGCTTTGCCATCAGTAGAATTGGTTAAACAGTGCCAGGTGAGCCTGGTAGAACTCTGTCTGACCTGCAAAGCTAATGGTGTTTAGCACTGGTTTGATAAAAGAAAGGGCTTCTTGACAGTTTCACTGCCTGGGTATAGAAGAGCTCAGTAGAAGACTTGAAAGTAGGTTAAATTTTGTCAAATGCCACTAAAAATGTCACTTGAACCTTATCAGCAGGGAACACTTATTTGCAGACCTAGTCACAATTAAACACACTGACTGATCCAAAGTGTTCCGCCAAGCCATCTAAAGAACAAAAGACACTGAAGGTTTGGGAAGCTGTTTACTTAGCACCAGCTACACTCAAAAGTACAGTAGGTCCTTTCCCCTTACAGATATTTTAGAAAATGATACTTAAAACATAGAGCCTATCCCAATTTTCCTGTCTCACACCTCCAGCCTTCGTATCATCTCCAAGTTGCTCCTTCCTAGGAGGAGCTCTGGACCTCTGCATACCTGGGGTTTTTTTGGTCATGGGAGCTAAGCATTGTGCTTAGGATAGACTTCAGCACCGTGGGAGCTGCAGAGCAAAAGATGCTTTATAAGTGTGCCCTTGAATTAACAAGGAACCTCCCTTTAATCAAATGAAGTTCAGCTGATATCCTTGAAAGTGAGCCCAAGCAATTGTGTTGGTGTCCAACACACCACAGTGGTCTAAAGCCTATACACTCTGATCCTTAAATGTATAAATTGTATAGTGCATGGAATCAGCTATCCTGGGCACTGGCATGTTACGAAGGTTGTGGCCTGGCTCTGCGGATGTATAGGTTACATTTTTCACCTAAAAGAAATGGGTTTCTTTACAAGAAGCATTAAAATAATTAAGCATCTAGGCTTGTTTCTATAAATTACAGGGAGCATGCATTAATATTTTAGACAGATTTGGCACATCCTCAAGATGTATTGCTCTAATGTGCCTTGTGGATGGTGTGTCTGGAAATCACAGACTTTCCTCCTTATCCTGTACAGGAGCACACTGAGGCTGCTGTCACAAGCAGCCTTCATCAGTCCGTACGTACAGTCTCTGCACAGTTGGAGGGAGGTACATCTTTCTGGGTCAGACACAAACTTTGCTGCTGCCTTCTCCAGCCAGGCAGCAAGACTTCTGAGAAACATCCTCACCAGCCCTCCTGGCCCTGACCTGGCAGCTTTTGGCAGGTTGCCTCCTGCCCAGTGCCCATATGCTGCTGCTCGAGGCTGCTCCCTGCCCTGGATGGTGTTGTCCTCTAGCCAGGACCAACCTCTCTCCCCATGGGTGGAGAGCACCTTCCTGCCAGAGGCTGGCGTGTGTTGCCTGTATACACCAGGGAAAAATTTTCCACTGCAACTGCAGGGTTTGGCACTGGGTCTGGCACTTACTGGCCCTGAGCAACCCAGATGTGCTCCTCCAATGCCCACAAGGCCCATCTGATGTTCAGCAGATCCATTCCTTCACCTTCTCACCCACAGACACTCCAGGGAGACTCAAGTCTGTGACAATGGAGCGGTGACAGGGGAACACCAGTCTACCCTGAGCCGCTCAGGTACCTCCCTCCAGCCAAGCCACAAAAAACACCCAAAAATCACCAGGTTTCAGCACGGGGACCTCATGCACAGCCTCCGCTCCCAGGGCTACAGCTCCAGATTATCCTGCCTCTGATAACAGTGTGGAAAAATCCCACAGCTGGTTAAGCCCGTGCTGTAGCACAGGTTGCTCAGTCCTTAGCTGCTCCTGGAAGAACAGTTAGAAAGAGGATTTGGTCCGCAATCCTGCCACTGATCTCATGCTGTAATCCACTTCATTATGGTCTTCTAATCCTCAAAGTCGGATGCAGCATATGGCTAATGACCATTTGGCTAAAGGAAAATCCTCGTGTGTGCGAAAGCCAGCATGAGGGCAGAGATCTGTGAGTAAAGCAAAGGCAGTGCCACATCTCAGGGTACCATATGTTATGGTCCTGAGCACCAGAGGGTCGGTGGGATACCACCAGGGCAGGATTTGGCCATCATACAACATCCTTTCTCACTTACCCAAGGAATTTCTTGTGGTACATTTCCCGTTACAATTTTTGCCAGTGTTGATTTCATATTCTCTGGAAGAATCAAAACTGATGTTGGGAAATATTCTTAGCTGATACACAACTTCTCAGTGTAATTAATACACTGATAAATGAATGACAAATTTTTTAATACATTTTTCCAAACATTATTGGGCTTTGTCAGATTATTTAATTAACAAATAGCTGTTGTAAAAGTGGGAAATAACAATAATTAGTTGTAGATGTTTCATGATATTGCCTCTAATCTCTCCAAAATGCCTGCTAAATGCAATTCAGACTGCAGTTTCCAACTTTGTCTTTCTCTTGGCCACAGTGTGGCAAATAACTGTATATACTGAGCCACACGCCTGGAGAACCTGATATAGAACAAGCAGAAGACCTTCCTCTCACCTAGTGCCCTAAGGCACCCTTTGAACTAAGCAATAAAGCAAACAAAGTCACTAATATGATTAAAACATATCAATATGAAAACACATCCATGTGTTTGTGAACTTATTAAGTAGCGCTTGATTCAGGTGATGCTGATGAATGCTTTCCTGAACTAGGATGACACATGCAGAACTTTGTACCCTGCAGGTGAAGGCTAACGTGGTTTCACGGTACTTATGCAATGAATGCAATGTACTTGGCCCCACTGCAAGGACAGATATTGACACATGGGAATGTGTCCAGCAGAGGCCCTCAGGCTGGTCAGGGTCATTGGGCGTAAGCAGAAGGAGCTGGGCTTGTTCAGCCTAGAGAAGACATGGCTACGGGGAATCATGTTGCTCTCTGCAGCTCTCTGATGGGGTTATAGAGAAGGCAGAGCCAGAGTCTTCTCAGAGCTGCACAGAAAAAGGATTAAATTCTGACTAAATATGAGGAATTATTCTTCACCATGAGGGTGATCAAGCAGTGGCAAGGAACCAGACAGGCCATGCATGTCCTTCCTTATTTCCATATTGAAAACCCAGCTGAACAAGGAGGGCCTCAAGCATCCTGAGCTGATTTCAACTTTGGCCTTACTATGAGCAGGGGTTGGACTAAAGACTTCTAGACAGCTCTTCCAACCTGAATTATTTTATGTATATGGTATTTACATAATGCACCCTCCTATGGATAGTTTTTATTAATGAAAGAACATAACACTCCTTCATCACCCAGGAGAGCAGCCTCAGACTTTTCATACAACCTCTGCTAAAGGGCTACAGATAAGTGGTACAAAGAGCTCCCAGCACGTTTTTACAGAGGATGACCAGTAATATGTATAATAAAAAGAGTAGATTGTAATATTTTTTAAAAAAACACACCAAACTATTCAAATTTGAGAACATTATTAGCTCTCAATGTTTTCAAAGTGTCTCCACTTCTGCAACAGCCGTGTCCCCCCTGCCACCAGACCACTTCCGCAGAAAAGCATCAGCATTCAAACCTACAGCAAAGTTATCTACACCACAGAAAGACAGGTACCAAAATAGTTGCCCCTTCACCACTGTGCTGCAGCCTGGACCAGATGTGGGTCTCAGCACCATCAACTCTGAGGATGTACCTTTGCTTCTCACCTTCACCAGCTTGCACTATGCTCCAGCTCTGGGCAGTTTCTGGATGATGCGGACGTCAGGCCAAGGCTCCGTTGCATAGGGCAAGAGTTACTCACTTGAAAGCAAGAAAATGGTAGAACGAGCAGCAGAAAAAGGAGGCACTAAACAGCAGAACACTTGGCTGGACAACAGCCCAGACTATTGCTCTTTGAAGTGAACATACTGCAGGGAAGGTGGTTTGGAGGTAACACAGGAGATGTTATACTGCAGCTGGTCAGAGGAAGAGGAAATCACTGGTTTAATCAGTTTTCCTGACACTTCAGTGATCTCAGCTGTGCATCACTGAGTGCTCATTTCATCTTTGCCACAGCCCAAGCAGGAACAATGAGGAGGTGGCCGCGGGGAAGCAGCAGCCGACCTGGGATTGACACCATTCGTGGCTGCCTGGCAGGAGAAAGTCAATCTGGCAACTTCACTGCTAAGGCTGGGAAAGTCTCCTTCAGGAGCTGGGGCCAGGAGAAAATCTTGTAAAGGTAGGAAAAAAAAAAATTCAATAGATTCTTATCTGCAAGGAGACATT